ATCCCTTACTCCACGCCCCCTTCTGAATCCAGCTTGCATTTCTGGAAGTTCTCTGTCAATATACTGCTGCAACCATTTTTGAATTCTCTTCAGGTCAGAAGGCACTCAAAATATGACTGGGGAAGAGTTGCCTCCTCAGAGTAGAGTCAACTTTAATGGTGTATGGAGTAAAGCTCTCAGGACCTCCATTTCCTGATGTGGTATGACTCAAAATGGGAAGACACAGCTGCAAACATCCATTAATAATCAGAACATGGAATGTATGGAGTATTAATTTAGGAAGATTGGAAGTTGTCAAAAATGAAATGGAACACATAAAGATCCTAGGTATTAGTGAACTGAAATGGGCTGGTTCTGGCCATTTTGAATCAGATAACCACGTGATCTACTATGCCAGGAACAACAAATTAAAGAGGAATAGCATGACATTCATCATCACAAAGAATGATTCAAGATCTATCCTGAAGTACAAGGCTGTCAGTGATAGGATAATATCCATACACCTACAAGTAAAACCAGTTAATACTATTATTATTCAAATTTATGCACCAATGACCAAAGGTAAAGAAGAGGAAATTGAAGATTTTTACCAACTTCTGCAGTTTGAAATTGACCAAACATGCAATCAAGATGTGTTTTTTATCACTGGTGATTGAATGCAAAAGTTGGAAACAAAGAAGTATCACCAGTAGTTGGAAAATATGGCCTTGGTGGTATAAATGATGGTAGAGATCGCATGATAGAATTTTGCCAGACCAATGACTTGTTCATTGCAAATACCTTTTCTCAGCAACAGAAGCAATGGCTATACACGTGGACTCCACCAGATGGAGTACACAGGAATCAGATCACCTACATCTGTGGAAAGAGGAAACAGAGAAGCTCAATATCTTCAACCAAAACAAGGCCAGGAGCTGACTGTGAACAGACCATCAACTGCTCATATGCAAGTTTAAGTTGAAGCTGAAGACAATTAAAACAAGTCCATGAGGGCCAAATATGACCTTGATTATATCCCTCCTGAATTTAGAGACCATCTAAAGAATAGATTTGATGCGTTGAACACCAATGACCTAAAACCAGAGGAATTGTGGGATGACATCAAGAACATCATCCATGAAGAAAGCAAAAGGTCATTTAAAAGATAGGAAAGGAAGAATAGACCAAAATGGATGTCAGAAGAGACTCTGAAACTTGCCTTTGAATGGGGAATAGCTAAAGCAAATGGAAGAAATGACAAGATAAAAGAGCTGAACAGAAGTTTTCAAAGAGCACCTCAAGAAGACAAAGTTAAGTATTATAATGAAATGTGTAAAGACCTGGAGTTAGAAAACCAAGAGGGAAGAACAC